AGCGCGCCTGTGTAACCAGCCACTCTCGGTTGTGCCCGGCAGCACCCAGTAGCCTCCAGTCGAGACCTCCTAGTGCCGCAACTTCCTGCGGAAGTAGCACCAGCGCCAGCAGCGCCCAGCAGCTGCTGCGAGTACGGGGACGACTCGCGCCAGCTCGTCTGCGCGTGTGATAGCATCCACCCACACCCTACGTGATCGAGCTGAAGCCCTCGTGTCATAGTGAGCGAGCTGAGGCACCCGAGTCAACGGCGACCGACCGGCTCATGACGAGCCACATGTCCAAGTCCGAGGACGGGTCTGTTTATACTGTCTGTTCGTTATTCGATTTTAGATTTGGGTCCGAGATTGTACCGGGATTTTAGTATTTTTACGAACAGAGTGAGTTCAATTCAAACCAGTTATTTTATTTCGGACTTAAAATAATTTTCAAAATCCTAGAGTATCCTTTGGAATCTGGATTAAGTATGAGTTTAGAATCCAGCTAAAGACATTCTAGCATATGATAACATCTAAATATTTATTAAGTCTTTCGAGCATAAGACTTAGCATATTTTATTTAATTATGTGTAGCTTGAGGAGTTGAGCCTCAGTATTTCAAGCATTTCTACTATTTAGCAGAAAAGGTGGGAACCCTGTACTGGGATTTACATATGTTATATTCTCAATTACCACATCAGAGGTATGTACGTAAGAAAATGTCCCCCGATGAGTGGGTAATGACCTACCAGTTGAGGTCTGTATGATTTAGGGCTGAGCATGGGACTCGGAGAATTCCGAACCGTTCCGAAAACCGAACCGAAATCACTCCGAACCGAAAAATAACCGTTGACCATTTGACTTTCTCCGAACCGAACCGAACCGAAAAAATAATTGGTACGGTTCTGGAGATTTCACAAATATCCGTACCGAGAACCGAACCGAACCGTATCGTACTGTACCGAACTGTACCGAACCGAAGAACCGAAATTAAGAACCGAATTATAGCATTAAATGTGTTACTAATATAGTGTATGTCAACTTTGATTCTATATAATATAGTAATAAATATTAACATTCATTTCAATTTCATTCGTAGTAATACATGATATACAATTGAATTTTTTCTATTATAAAATAATTATTTAAAATAATATGAAAGTTTTAAAAATATTTTTCTAAGAAAAAAATATTATATTTTATTTGAATTTTAAATTTTCAATATTAGTTGCACAAATTTTAGTTATAACTAAAATTTAGAGTTACTTATAAAGTTGATTTCAAAATAAAATTTTTATGTGAGGAAGTAGTGATGAATGTTGGTTTTATTAAAGCATATAAAAATTAAATAACTAAAATTTAGAGTTACTTCTAGAATTGATTTCAAAATAAAATCTTCAATATGATGAATTATTGATGAATGTTGTTTTTTAAAAGCATATAAAAATTGAAATATAACTAGGTAGTCATTAAAAAATAATTAAAAAAAATCTCCGAAAATCCGAACCAAACCATACCGAACCGAACTGTCCCAATTGTCCCGAATATCGAACCGGACCGAACCGAAAAATAAAAATCTCCGAACCGAACCGAACCGAATTTTTGGTATGGTTCCGGAGATCGAATTTTGGGATCTCCGAAGTTTGGTACGGTTCTGGAGATTTATCAATCTCCGAACCGTACCGACCCACGCTCACCCCTAGTATGATTTATCGCCTGTGTAGAGGCCAATGTGTCCTTAACTCAGGTTCTTTTCGGATTACAGATTATTATCCCATCGGAGTGTGCAGACGATACCGACCAATGTGTCCGAAAGCAGAAAGAATTCAATTATATTTATATATGCTAGTTCCTTCAAGTATATGCATATATCCATTTTTTTAATTTATGATTATTATGACTGCTATGTTGGATTTCTACGGAGTACCATGATTATGTACTCACGTCCCATTAATTATGACATTTCAAGTAATGGAAATTATAACATTTCAGGTAATGGAGTCGAGCGTGCAAGCTGAGCAAAGGTGGAGGTGGTTGAGTTTTGACTGGCTAATAACATACATTTTTATGTTCTGTAATAAACAATGATTCATGATGAACCATGTTTACGTTTCCGCAATCTTAACACTTTATATCGTCGAATAATACATGATTCAGTATTTCATTATATCAATCTATCCCAATGTGATGTAGATTGAATATTTAAATAAATATTCGACAATGAAGTTTTTCTTAAAGTCTTGAACCAGTATCTTAAGCTTAACTATAAGAATGGGTTTTCAGAGAGAGAAAAGGGAACATCCCGAGATAATTTGAGTATTGTTGAAATTATTATAAATAGTTTTTTAAAAAGTAAAAAATTTACTCCGATTTCAAGCATTTTAAAAGCGGGGTATTACACTAGCCATCAAAAGAACATAGAATTGTTTCATCAGCCATGCCCGATACAAGTTTATGTATGTTTGGTGTGATAATATGAACATGTAACGCACAAAAAACAATATAAGAGAAACTAAAGGAGTTTAGCCTCAATTTCCTCGAGTGTGAGTCCCTTGGTTTCGGGTATGATAAAGAAGATGAAAATGAGGGACAAAATAGCTATGCCTCCAAAGATGAAGAAGAGGATTGCAACCCCGAGCAACTCCTGCATTCCCAGTTAATATTGCCTTCCGTTAGGATCTACTTTTTAATGTTTGTGATCAAAACAGAAAATGAGAGCACACCACACCTTGAGAGGAGAAAACGCAAAGGTGACAAGTGCATTCGCTCCAAAATTTATAAGGACGGCAATACTTAGACCGCGTCCTCTTAGACGCAAAGGGAAGATCTCCGAAATCATCAACCAACCAATGGGACCAAACGATAACTACACTTATGTCAACTGTTAGTTCTTAGAAAATTACCCCAAACATGCACCATCATATTAAAAAAAATAAAAATAAATAATAGTGTTACCTGGTAACATCCAACGTACACGAGCAAAGCAGCGACTGCCACGGCGTGTACCTCACCTAGGTAAGTGTAATATAACCCCAGAAGAAATAGAGATATTGTCTGCCCCATTAACCAAGTAATATTGAAAATAGATATAAGCTTAGTTTAGTTATCATTCGAATATCGAGACAAAAATCCTGGAAAGACCAAGTAATATTGACTTACAATACCAGATACGCCTCCAAGCAGAAGGGGCCTCCTGCCCAATCTATCCACAACCAAAACCGCCACCCCTGTCATCACCAGCTACACAACCCAATAACTAACTATGTTAGTTAAAAAATAAATAAAATAAAGAGTTGTGATTAAAGATTACTTAATCAGCAACATATATAAACGGAGAATGGCAGAGCAAACAGAAACTGTGTCAGAGTCTGACCTTAAGTAGACCAAGTAAAATTGAGACCTTCGTTGCATCTGCTGCCGCAGAAAATCCTGCACTCTGTCACTTGTAAAGACATCATAAATTGGTTGAAAAAAAAATTACAATTGTATAAACATTAAATCACATATAGATTAGCTTTTATCATGATCTATTGGAATTCATACTTGAAGAATCGTGGCAGCATAGTACAACACACTTGGTTGCCCTGTTATCTGCAAATATTAGAGTAAGAGCAGGAGCTTAAAATGAACAAACAAAGAAAAAGAAAGAGAGAAGTAAACAGCATGTTTTTTACACTAAGAACATACCTGTTGAAATAAGACCAGCCCACCACCAATAGTAAGTGCTTTCAAGCACTTACCCTGGAACATCTCTCCTATCGTAGCCTCTTGCTCTTCACGCACGTGGGAAAGCTCGACTAAAATCTCATCCACCTGCCGAGGGGCCGATCCTGCAAGAGCTTCACCTCTTAACCGGCACAAGCAATCTATGGCATTCTGTCTCAAGACCTGAACATCCCCTTTTCCCTGCATGGCTTTCAGAAGAATCCATCTAGGTGATGCCGGTAGCCACCACACCCCGAATCCCATAACGAGTGCCAGAGGAGAACTAATTCCGTACATATACCTCCAGCCAGCAGCCGTGTCCACCAAAAGGCTACCGGCTATATAGCCAATCTATAAAAAAGGATTTTTGTGGTGATTATTAAGTCCATCGACTTTTACCGATTCCAGTGCAGAAAAAGAAGGGTTTACTAAAATGAACCATTTGTGAGGCATGCAAATTTGCTTTCTTTCATTTCCTATTCGGGAAAAAAAGGAAAAACTCACCACCATCCCAAGAACTATGAAAAACTCTTTCAGGGAAATAAGCTGTCCACGTATTTGACTTGGAGCTGTTTCAGCAATGTACATTGGAGCCGCATGCATTGCCTAAGTAAGAGAGCAAGCAATTGTAAATTTGTAAGGCAAGACACGTTTTTCCTTGTCACTTGGCAGACTTTATTTCATTTATTGACAAAAAATAAAAAATAATAAAAAAAAAGTCAGATAACAGAAGCTATTTTGAATGTGGACGTGTATTTAGCTGCTGACCAACAGCAAAATCATCATCAATGTTTATGCAATACAAATAAATGTAAGTATGATTGTCTGTATGTATGAGCTTAAAGATATACATTACAGCTCGTGTAAAATTGTCTTTACAATTTACATCATTCCTTACCAATCCAATTCCTATGCCATAAATGAAACGTCCAATCACCAAGACAGCAAAAGTAGGTGCCAAGGCTGTCACAAGAGCTCCAAGAAGATACATGACAGATGACAATATCAACTCCCTCCTTCTTCCTGCAGCATTTAATGATTAAAATTGACCAAAAAATGAATAGTATGGATAATTAGTTGTAATTTTCAACCTAACATAAAAAATTAAACTAACCAAGAAAGTCAGCAACATTAAATGCCAGAATGGAGCCTATCAATGCACCATACAGTGAACCACTGGTCTGCCACAATTTGAAGGCCCAACGTGAAAAGAGAAAAAAAGGAAAAAAACAGAGAAACGGGAAAAAGAAATGTGATCTTCCCAGACTAGATAATGTCTAAGGAGAAGCTATCATCACCAAAAACATGTGTGCTTACGATAAGACCAATGTCCACTGCAGACAAATTATACCAGGAAATTCCACTTAATGTTGCCGACTGCAAAGCAATAGGAAACAGAAAAATTAGCATCATGTGTAGAGTACATCCAAAGTCCAAACTGCTATGCATCAAGTGAAATTGTTTAAGCATCCAATTTCACCATAATCAAGATCTTGAGGTAGTCGGACCAGAAAATTAAACCACACATGAGATTAAATATCTTATGGACATTAAATTGGATTCAACAATATCCACGAACAAAATTTTAGATGTAAAACATTGTCCCTATCATGCACTGGCAAGAAGATAAAAATCATTTAGGATACACTATTTAATTTCATTGTTTTGTTTGGGTAGGCTTTTGCCTTTGTCTAATGTTCGATAATATTATTTTAACAAAGTACAAAGAATGAGATACAACGCATAAATGACAAGTGAAGAATGCAAAGTGTTATGATATAATTTCATAATTACGAAACAATGCAGAACAACAAGGACAAAAGGTCCGTTCAGTTCAGTACAGGTCTCACATAAACAGACAAGTTGTTAGATATTGAAACAGAAAATATATGAGCTCATCTAAGAGAATTTGTACTTAGATATCATCTAATCATTCTGAGAGTTTCTCGATCACATCACCAACTCCATTTCGCGGTGTATCCTTGGTAGACTTGAGAGATTTCGCATTATTAGATAGATAACAGTTAATTTCAGTAGATGGCCCTAATAAAATGGTGAACCATCTATAATAGTATTCACGTCCAAACTAAATGATGTCATAGTCACGAACATTCATAAACAAACAGCACAAGAATGGTCTTCTCAGAACCCACCCCAAAAATATTGGCAAGCAATGTTATATTATATAAGTAGTACCTGAATGAAAGCCAGAAACATAAATATTGACAAGCAATGTTATATTATATGAAGTACCTGAATGGAAATGGTAGCAGAAGATGTAGCTCCAATATCATAACCAAACAGAAGGCCTCCAAAAGCAGGGAATAGAAACCTGATATTATCGATACTAAAAGTTCATATAAATATACCAGAACAATGTCTACATGACTAATCTAATATTCCAGGCATTAAACCACATGCTAATATGATATCTAAGCTGGAGCAATCTGCAAATTTTGGTCCATAACATAACCATCATCATAACCACAAGTAAAACAAAAAACAAAACACAATCCTATTCAATATGTACAAACTCACGGAAGAACAGCAGAAACCACCGAAAACTCCTCACAGTCTCTACTTTTTTCCAGCAGAGGCTCCTGTGCGCCACCGCTTTCAACGGAAGATCTCTAATTCAACAAACCAAGAACAAAACTGAATAAGCATACAATCACCTATCATACATTTCGTTATCAAAGTCGGTGGAAGATGGTAAAAAACTGCTAGTTGCGAGCAACGAACATGCTGATAGCACACGATCAATTAGAAAGAATGAAGAAAAAAACCAATAATTAAAAAAAA